ATCACAACATAGCTATCCAAGGGGTCTGGGGAGGGATCACAACATAGCTATCCAAGGGGTCTGGGGGAGGGATCACAACATAGCTATCCAAGGGGTCTGGGGGGGAGGGATCACAACATAGCTATCCAAGGGGTCTGGGGGGGAGGGATCACAACATACCTATCCAAGGGATCATCTGCCTTCCCAGCAAAGAAGGTGGTGACATCCCGCCATCCTTTACTGCCAACTCCCTGAACCTGGAAGGGAAAGAGGCTAGCTAGCCAGGGTCCTGCAGGCCCGCAGCCCCCAGTGGGCTGGCCTGAGACAGCACACCTAGGCCTTGCTGAGAAGACCTGGGTCAGACCACAGTGCTCAGGCAGGAGGGGAGGCCCCAGCTTGGTTCCGTGGCCGTGGCAGCTTCCCTTTCCCTCCCCACACTCTGCCCTCAGCAGTTTCCTGAAGCCACCGGTGGGCCACCATTAGCAGAGAAGAAAAGCCAAGGCTGTGGCAGACAGGTGCTGGCACTTACCACAGGAAAGGCCAGGGCAGCGAGAGAAGCGGAAGGAGAGCGACAGGTTAGTGGCCGGCAGTGCTGCTGCTTGCACCCTCGAGCCTGGGGCTCGGCAGCAGGCACTACCGCTCCTGCCCGGCCCGCGTGGACACCAGTGCCGGCCCCTCCAGGGACACTGGCCCCGGGGCCTGGAGTATGGAGACTGGCTCTAGCTGCGCCCATGCTGGCAGGGTTGCCCTACCTTGGATGCCAACTGAGAGACCCCACTGGACACATCATCAAAAATCCTTCCCTCCTTCACCTGTGCGGTTTAAAGAGCACAGTCAGGGGAGGAGCACCTCAGGGAGGGTCATCTGAAACCCGTCACACTGTCACAACAATCAATCGCGCCTCAGGAGACCTCACCCGCTACTACAAGGGGACCCCGGTGTCTGGGCCCGGCCTCTGCTGTGGAGGAGGGTGGTGCCCCCCCCGGCCTGGGATCTGTGCACTCTCAAGGCTCAGCAGGCCGGTGGAGAACAGGCAAAGGCAACCCATGCACTGGGGGCCTAGCCGAGAAGCGAGCCTGGAATGTATGAGCACACTGGAGGGCAGAGGTGCCGGGCCTCCCGGGCCACGCGAGGGGCAGGGCCACGCAAGGGGCGGGGCCACAAGCCCCGTGTCCGGCTCCCCTTGGAAATGAAGGGCCTCCCCCTACCTTCTCCTGAGCAGGCTTGAGGACATTCTCGTTCAGGCTGTGGCCCAACTCTGAAGCCTGTCGGAAAGGGTGTGGCGTGAGCTTCACGGCAGGCAGGCTCTGCGAGGCGTGAGCGCACGGGCTTTGCCGAGGTAGGGGCAGCGGTGGCACGGCCGGAGTGAGCGCGGAGCCAGGGCAAAGCCCGCACCCTTGGGCCTTCCTCACACGCAGCACAACGGTCAGCTCACGGGAACAAGCCTGAGCCCACACTCACCCACGACAGGGAAGGCCGTGGGCCCTGCTGACCACAGGCCTCTCCTTCCTCTCCCTCCACAGGCAGGGAGGCAGACAGAGGCCCAGGCAGAGGGAGGCAGAGGGAAGGGCCCAGCCTCCCTGCACCACATGGTGACAGCGGCCTTGAGCTGCCCAGGGAGTGATGCATTCTCCCCTCCCACACAGCCTCCCAGCAGGTGAATTCCCAAGGCTCCCCGGCATTATGTTTGCAAGTACCTGGGCTCTGGGCCTGGGGCCAGCTGCCCACCCCCCAGCTCCAGCAGGCCACAGAGGTGCAAGCACAGCACACACAGGTGACCAAGCACACAGACAGGCAGCAGCCAGGAGCAAAGCATTCTCAGCAGTTGTGGGCTGCATGCACCAGCAGACACGGGCTTTACCGGCTCTGGTTGCTGCTTATAACCCCAAAACTTCACCCAGATCGCCCGGAGCAGGTTAGCAGAGAGAGAGCAAGGGAGTAGGAGCAGGATTTAGCAATACCCAGAAAACCCTTAAGAATACCACTCTTCCACAGAACTGGCTTTTCTATTTGTAGACAGGGTCTCCAGCCTCAACTTACACTCAGCTTGACCCGTGCCGGGCTTACGTCATGTGCCACCATGGTCAACCTGACGTATTCCTAATGGTGGGACCAGGTCCTGCCAGCCTGCCCTGGGCCCTTGCATCAACAATTTTCTGCTTCAAACTTGCCACTGTCCAGAATCCCAAGAGCCTCAGAAGCCCAACTTGGAGTCAAAGACATGGCCCGGAATAGACTCAGCACAAAAGGCAGACGAGAGGCCCTCGGAGCAGAAGTGCAGGCTGCAGGGAAGAAGCCTCATGAGAACTGCTGCTGTCCCTCAGGGTGTGAGGGCGGAGCACAGAAAAGTACCTGCAGAGCCACGAAGGCAAGACCAGAGGCCTGTGTGCCTCACGGCTACTGCTGATCTACACCGAGTCCTCACGGCTACTGCTGATCTACACCGAGTCCTCACGGCTACTGCTGATCTACACCGAGTCCTCACGGCTACTGCTGAGCTACACCGAGTCCTCACGGCTACTGCTGATCTACACCGAGTCCCCACGGCTACTGCTGATCTACACCGAGTCCTCACGGCTACTGCTGATCTACACCGAGTCCTCACGGCTACTGCTGGGCTACACCGAGTCCTCACGGCTACTGCTGATCTACACCGAGTCCTCATAGCTACTGCTGATCTACACCGAGTCCTCACGGCTACTGCTGATCTACACCGAGTCCTCACGGCTACTGCTGAGCTACACCGAGTCCTCACGGCTACTGCTGATCTACGCCAAGTCCCCACGGCTACTGCTGATCTACACCAAGTCCTCACGGCTACTGCTGATCTACGCTGAGTCCTCACGGCTACTGCTGGGCTACACCGAGTCCTCATGGCTACTGCTGAGCTACACCGAGTCCTCATAGCTACTGCTGATCTACACCGAGTCCTCACGGCTACTGCTGATCTACACCGAGTCCTCACGGCTACTGCTGAGCTACACTGAGTCCTCACAGCTACTGCTGGGCTACACCGAGTCCTCACGGCTGCTGCTGATCTACGCCGAGTCCTCACAGCTACTGCTGATCTACACCGAGTCCTCACGGCTACTGCTGAGCTACACCGAGTCCTCACGGCTGCTGCTGATCTACGCCGAGTCCTCACGGCTACTGCTGATCTACACCGAGTCCTCACGGCTGCTGCTGATCTACGCCGAGTCCTCACGGCTGCTGCTGATCTACGCCGAGTCCTCACAGCTACTGCTGAGCTACACCGAGTCCTCACGGCTGCTGCTGGGCTACACCGAGTCCTCACGGCTGCTGCTGGGCTACACCAAGTCCTCACGGCTACTGCTGATCTACACCGAGTCCTCACGGCTACTGCTGGGCTACACCGAGTCCTCACGGCTACTGCTGATCTACGCCAAGTCCTCACGGCTACTGCTGATCTATGCCGAGTCCTCACGGCTACTGCTGATCTACACCGAGTCCTCACGGCTACTGCTGGGCTACACCGAGTCCTCACGGCTACTGCTGATCTACGCCAAGTCCTCACGGCTACTGCTGATCTATGCCGAGTCCTCACGGCTACTGCTGATATACACCGAGTCCTCACGGCTACTGCTGAGCTACACTGAGTCCTCATGGCTACTGCTGGGCTACATCAAGTTTTGAGGGGGGAGGCGAAGGGGAGAGAAAGAAATGGCAAGGCCCAGATGGCTTCGCCCAAGACAGAATACCCACAGGAACCTGACAGAGGTGCTGGGTGGCGGCAGCAACCTTTCCTGCTAAGTGGCCGTGACCCAGGCAGTCTGACTCCCTTCCCAACAAGGAGGCTGCTGCCTCTACCTGCCAGACCCACAGTGACCGTGCCAATGTGTGAGCACAGTGCGGGCCTTGTGCACTGGGACCCTCTCAGACCTGGACGTGTGAGCACAGTGCAGGCCTTGTGCACTGGGACCCTCTCAGACCTGGACGTGTAAGCACACAGTGCAGGCCTTGTGCACGGGACCCTCTCAGACCTGGACGTGTGAGCACAGTGCAGGCCTTGTGCACTGGGACCCTCTCAGACCTGGACGTGTGAGCACAGTGCGGGCCTTGTGCACGGGACCCTCTCAGACCTGGGCGTGTGAGCACAGTGCAGGCCTTGTGCACTGGGACCCTCTCAGACCTGGACGTGTGAGCACAGTGCGGGCCTTGTGCACCGGGACCCTCTCAGACCTGGATGTGTGAGCACACAGTGCGGGCCTTGTGCACCAGGACCCTCTCAGACCTGGACGTGTAAGCACACAGTGCGGGCCTTGTGCACTGGGACCCTCTCAGACCTGGACGTGTGAGCATACAGTGCGGGCCTTGTGCACGGGACCCTCTCAGACCTGGACGTGTGAGCACACAGTGCAGGCCTTGTGCACGGGACCCTCTCAGACCTGGACGTGTGAGCACACAGTGCAGGCCTTGTGCACCGGGACCCTCAGACCTGGATGTGTAAGCACAGTGCGGGCCTTGTGCACGGGACCCTCTCAGACCTGGACGTGTGAGCACAGTGCGGGCCTTGTGCACGGGACCCTCAGACCTGGCGTCTGGCCCAAAGGCTCCTGGACACTGCACATGTCATCACAGATGCAAAAGGTTTCTAACACACTAGAAGGGGCAAGCTCCTGCTTTTTACCTTTTGACTTGCTTGTGATCCAAATTTTGTAGCCTAAAAGGAAAAGCAAAGATGAGTTTCTTAACCCTGGCCACAGGCTTTATTCCCTCAGGGCCTGTGGCTTCCAGGACTCTGTCCTGACGCTGGTAATGCAGCGGCGGCTCCCAGGTGCCCTGGCATGGCACTTCCTCCACTCTCGGACGCTGTCCAGCCACGGCCCCACCGTGGGAGCTAGGGAGCTAGGTCCAGAAGCTGGCCTTCCCACCACCCCGCCTGTCTGCACATGTGGCTGCACAGAACTTGTGGCTGACACACCAGGAAAGGAAGGAGAGACTAGCATGGATGGCCCGGAGGGAAGATGCCTGGCCCTTCCTTGACCTCCAGCCTCTCTACAGATGAGACAAGAGGCCCCGCAGCAGCCATGCGGCAAAGAGAATGGTGAGAGCCAAGCAAGTGGCTTTTCTTTTTGGATGCAGGCACTGGGGTTTGAACTCAGAGCTTTGCATTCTCACTTGGCTTTTTTGCTCATGACTGACATTCTACCACTTGAGTCATGTCTCAGGTTCCAACCTTCTGCTGGTTAACTGGAGGTAAAAATCTCAAGGATTCCTTAGCCTGAGCTGCTCCAAGCCTCCTGAGAAGCCAGGCTTGCATTCATGGGCCTTGACCGGTGTCACATGGCTTCTGACTGGCTGACTAGACAGCTATGGGCGCTGTGGCCTGTTTGCTTGGTCAGGGGATGATGCTGCCTGTCCCTGACCCCCTGCCCCACACCCACTCACTCCTCCAGCCCACCCCCTTTCCTTCACTACCAGCACTTGGTAGGTGACAGCCACAGCCAGACATGCTTCTCCTACATGGGTGTCTAGTGAGACCAAGTTCCCTCCTCATTCCAGGCAAAGGCGAGAGAGAGCCTGGTGCAGAAACTCAGGGTGCACAGGTGTCTAAGCACATGTCACTGGGGGTCAGACGGGACCATCAGTCAACTCTGCAGGCACCTTGTTCCTAACAGAGAACACCCACTACCACAGGCAGGGCAGGGCCATCCTGGTGCCAAGGCCTCAGGCCGCCTGCTGGGGAGTGGGCAGCCCTGCAGTCAAAGCTCCCAGACTCCTATGTTCTGCGGTCACTTACACCTTCCTTGGCTGCAGAAGCAAACTTGCTGGCTCCAGTGGTAAAGCTACTCCAACCCTGGGGAGACAACAGAGAACAAGCCATGTTGCACAGTTCCTTGCGTAGCCACGTCAGACCTGGGCATGCTGGGCTCCTGGCCCCTTGACAAAGCTCTGCAGCAGAGACGAGGCTAGACAGAAGCACCTCAGGCCCTCCAGAGCCCCCGTGTCCAGTGAGGAAGCTGCAGCCGCCCTCACCCCTCACAACTCACATCCGCACTGCCTGTCCCCAAGAGGACCAACTGGCAAGAGCAAGGGGCCAGGCTCCAAGCCCAGGGAATCTCTGGCCCTGCAGCCTGGCCCAGGGCCTCTGGGGAGCCCTCTTCCTGGCCCTCCCCGCTCACACAGAGCAGACAGATGGACAGAGCTCACCTCAGGCCACTCTTAAGTTCACAACTGCTTTCCCTAAGCCCTCCATGGCAAATTGCGGCTATTCAAAGACAGCCTTGTTTGAAATCAAACTCGACCTGCACCCCCCACGGGGGCCGGTGTGTGTGTGTGTGTGTGTGTGTGTGTGTGTGTGCGCGTGCGTGTGTGTGTGTGCAAGGCACCCCACCTGTCAGAGGCGCATAGCACATGGTTCTACCACCACAGGAGTCCTCAGCAGAGGAGGGAAAGATGCTGGCTCAGACACGACTTTGGGGTGCAATTAAAGAAAAAAACCACGACAGGCTTTAGGTGAAAAGCCTGCTTTTCCTACCCACACCAGACGTGGCCTGACTAGGGAGAGTGACTATGGCTGCCAGTGCCCAGTCAGGGATGTCCCAGGCTTCCCGAGTGACTGGAAGACCTGCAGGACAGGGAGGCTCCTCGGGGCCAACAACTATTGTTGGGCTCTCTGAGGCAGCCTGGCTCTGCAGGCAGGCTCCCCTGCAGGCAGGCTCCCCTGCAGGCAGGCTCCCCTGCAGGCAGGCTCCCCTGCAGGCAGCTCCCCCGGCGTCGCGCTGGCTGGCTGGCCGCTGGCCTCACCGAGTACAGCGATGACATGGCATTGTTGAGGAAGTCATCTTCTCTTTTCTGAGGTGGCACAGTGTTCCCAAACCCCACGTAGCGATTCTCCTGGGCCCTGAGGGTGAATAAGAAAACACCAGGCAAGAACATGAACCTCTGCTCTTCAGCAGCAAGGCTCCAGGCCTCTGGAGGAGGTACTGACCAGAACTACACAGCGCTGCCTCTGAACATCCACTAGGGCCTATCTATCTTTAAGCTACTTGATATTAGAAGTCAAGAGAAGTTCCTCTGCCACATCACCCGAGAGTCTCCACCAATACTCAAACCAGCAGTCAACATTCCTGACAGCAACATCAAAACAATGGTTCCAGGAATAAAAACCCACTTACAAAAGGCACCTGTTCGTTGGGTGTTGGTGGCTCACACCTAGCCACTTGGGAGATTGAGATCTACCTACGCCAGCCTAGGTAGTCTCCAAGTAACCAGCAAAAAGCTGAAAGTGGGCTGGGAAGGGATGTGAAGGGTAAAACAAAGGAGGAGGCTGCAATGCTTGGTAAGAAATGTACGCATTATCCTGCCCATGTAATTGTAACCCCTCTGTACAGTATGTTCATAAATAAAAAATTAATTAATTAATTAAAATTAAAAAAAAAAGCTGAAAGTGAAGGTGTGACTCAGGCAGAAGGTGCCAGCCTTGAGTGTAAAACACCATGCAAGAGTTCAAGGCCCCAAGTGCAAGTCCCAGTACACACCCACAGCCACAATAATTCGTTGTTGGTGGTGGTGGTCATAGGGCTTGAACTCTGGGCCTGGGCGCTGTCCCTCAGTTCTTCAGCTCAAGGCTAGCGCTCTATCACGTGAGCTACAGCACCACTTCCAGTTTTCTGGTGGCTTATTGGAGATAAGTTTCATGGACCTTCCTGCCTGGGCTGGCTTTGAACCACAATTCTCAGATCTCAGCCTCCTGAGTAGCTAGGATTACAGGCATGAGCCACTGGTGCCTGGCCCACAATAAATATTTTAAGAAATAAAACACACCTTTTTTTCTCTTCTGAAGTTTTAGGTCTTCTCTACCTTCACAACCCTCAATATTTGACCCTATCCATTAAACCTGAGGCCCTGAATTCAAACACCAGTACTGTAAAACAGAAAGCCTTCCATTCACAGCTGGGCTACTCAGGGCTGGCCGCACACATGCTGTGGTGGAACACAGGAGGCAGCCCTAGCCCCGTGGCTCGGCCTCGAGAGGGGCCTGACCAGACACCATGGCAGCTGGACGAGCCTTACCCTTGATAGGACTTGAGGTCGTCGTTCAGCCAGTCCTCGAAGGCCTTGTCCCCAGAGGCGCTCACGTGCTGAGACTGGCCGGTAGGCCTGAAACCAAGAGTCAAAGTCCAGAGGAGCCAGTCCTGGGAGCAGCAGGCGGAGGCTCACAGACCGTGGGTGGCCCGGCAATGCTCGCTTGAGCCACATGGTCCACGGGAGGGGGCCTTTCACACCACACCTGGAAAGCACCACGGCCAGGCCCACCCCCAGCTCTGACCCACAGGATGATCCGGTTCAGGTACCAAAATCCCAGCAGCACCCAAACTCACTGTCCTCAAAAGCAGCCCAGAGTAGGATCTGTGGCAGCTGGGAAAGGCAGGGAGGGCTCCAGGCTGAGAAACAGGCTGAGGCCATCGAAGGCAGGGCCAGGGGAGAGGCAGGCAGCGGGGCACTGTCACCCAGCAGACACAGGGTCCTCCCGGGCTCCAGGCTGAGGCCATCGAAGGCAGGGCCAGGGGAGAGGCAGGCAGCGGGGCACTGTCACCCAGCAGACACAGGGTCCTCCCGGGCTGCTGGCCCTACACCAGCCTCTGGGTTGACTCCCCCACAGGAAGTGGGGTGCATCCACACCTAGGGGGCTGCGGTGTCAAGAGGCTGTGCTGCCCAGTGACCGGAGACTCAGAAACCAGTGACTGTGAGAAACCAACACCATCCCAACATGCCTTCATTCACAGGTGGCACCACCTGGAGTGTGCTGCGCCCTCCTGAGCATGGGGACGGGGCCACGACCTCCTGAGCATGGGGACGGGGCCACGACCTCCTGAGCATGGGGACGGGGCCACGACCTCCTGAGGATGGGGACGGGGTCACGACCTCCTGATGGGGACAGGGTCATGACCTGAAGACAGGCATGGGGCCATGACCTCCTGAGGATGGGGACAGGGACAGGGTCACGACCTCCTGAGAATGGGGGCGCTGCTCTTCATCCCAGGCATGTCTTTACTAGGTACGTCTTTTTGAAAAGGGGTCTCCACACTGACTTTCAGAAGCAGCTCTCAACAGGAACAGTGAGGCTTTGCTGGGATCCCTGAGCTACAGCTAAGACTGAGGCTGAGCTGAGGACAGCTGAGCCCACACGGCAGGCCAGGTGCAGCTACCTGTGGGCAGTGGATGACAGCATCTTGGGCTGTGGTGGGGTCCAGTTCTGGGCAGGTGATGACTCCAGAGACCACTCTCTACCTTCAGCCAGCGTGGCCACCTGAGACAGGGACATGAGGCAGGAGGGCATGTTCACCGTCCTCTCAGCACGCCCAGCCCTCCCCGCCAGCTCCTCTGCAGGTTCTGTCTGGGCTAGGAAGCCACGGCTCAGGTTTACACACCAAGGGTAAGTGCAGGGCTGCACTAAACCACAGTCTGGTGAGCACCTGACCAGTCCAGCTCCAATTTCAAAAGCACAGGGACCCACTTATTGGGACCCCAAACAGTGGCTTCACAGCGTCTCCGAGACACTCTGGAAGCACTATGATCAGCTCCTTTTCTACCAGTAATCTCCTCTGGGCAGGAAGAGCCTGCTCTGGAAAAGGCAAGGGCCTGTGCGTGACAGGAGAAAACCTGCCTCCCAGGGCCACTAAAGCCACATGGCCGCCACCCCGGGGGGCACAGCCTACAGTGGAACAAGCCGGGCCTCTTACCTTATCCCTGAAGAGTGCTGCAGCCCTGCTGTTGTACTTGTCCTGCAGGGACCAGTCAGGATCGTAATCCTCCTGTGCCTCCAAGAACTCTCGGAATTTGGCATTCCCACCAGCCTTCATTTTCTCCAGCTCGATGTCTTTCCATTTGTCCATCGTAACGGAGCGCACAAAGCTAGAAACGGAGTGACAGAGTCACCAAACAGGAGGAGAGAGCCAGAAGCCCCCAGCCAGGGTCAAGCTGAGAACTGGCCAGGGTGCTTCCTACGGCAGGCCAGGCCGGAGCTCCACAGAGAACAGCCAGGCAGGTGACAAGATGGGCGGTGGTGCTACTGACCAGGCCACCAGCAGGACCAGTCAGACGGCGAGACAGGGGCGCTGGGGCAGACGCCAACCGCGGAGGCCGAGAGGACACTGACCTGAGGTGCACTCCGAGGCCGCGGTGTCTCCCGGAGCACTCCAGGCAGATCCAGATGCCGTAGCTCACACTCACCCACTGAGGGTTGAATGCGCCACACTCAAAACAAACCTGCAAAGCGGCCACGTGCAGATTACCAGGCAGCCCAAGGTAGGCAGGGCCTAACGACCCGGCAACTGTCCCACGCGGGTGCAGGGGAGGAACGGACAGCATTTAAAGGGCAGGGAGGGAAACTAACAGGGCTTCCTGGCTGGCCCTAGGGCATGAGTCAGGGAAAAGCTACAGAAGGGTCTTCCCAGAAATGAGTGTGAAGGGGCTATGAATGGTCCTCAGAAGTCTGCACAGGGCGGCTGAGGGCCAGGTATACCCAGGCCAGCCACGACGGGACAGTGCGGCCGGAAGCTCACCCGCACCAACACACTCACGTTGTTCTCATCTTGCACTCTGACTTCTTTAAGAACTTTCCTGGTTCTTGGACTGGCCATGATGCTGCAAAGAAGAAGACAAGCCCTTCAGCTTATGAACAGGTTACTTTACAAGAAAGGAAAGAAGCTGGGAGTTCCGGAACCCCTCTGAGAAAGCACCTTCCACAGGCCACTCCAGAACCCACAGCTAGAAAGGCGGGTGTGGTGACGAGGAAACCAGGAACTACTGGGGTGTCTCTCCACTTGGCACTGTGTGTCACCAACACCATGCTTTGTAAGACAGCTTTCAGAGGGGGAGGGCTTCACAAAACGAGCAGATCGGCTGCAACAGCGACACCAGGACGGCAGGGGGGGCACTCTGCCCATGCCAGCTCTGCAGCCGTCTGACCATGTGCAGGGGACCAGCCCATGAAGGGGCCGACAGCCGGCACCCACACCCCCGCCCTTCCTGGGTGCTGGCCCCAGCCACAAGGCCTGTCAAAAAACTGACTGGGCGCTGGGAAGGTGGCTCAGTGGCACAGGGCTCGCCTAGCAAGCATACAACCCTGGGTTCCATTCCTCAGCACCACATATGCAGAAAAGGCCAGAAAGAGCACTGTGGCTCAAGTGGTAGAGTGCTAGCCTAGAGCAAAAGAAGCTCAGGGACAGCGCCCAGGCCCTGAGTTCAAGGCCCAGGACTGGTTTAAGAAAAAAAAAAAACCTGTCTGGAACACTAGTGGGCATGGTGGCCCCAGCGCTCAGGCTGAAGAGAAAGCTACTACTTATTTATTTATATATCTACTGGTTTTAGCAAGGCTCAAATTCAACCAGTGGCCTGTTTAATTCAGGGCCAGGACAATCAAAGCTGGACCTGGGTCCCGAGCCATGCCCTCGCCACCACTGAGGGTGTGGGCTTCTCACACTCCCACAGACGGCACACTCACCAGCACTCGGGAAGGAGCACTCTCCCACAGACAGCACACTCACCAGCACTCGGTAACACTCTCCCACACACAGCACACTCAGGAGGACTTAGTAAGTATCAGAAGCTATACTCAGGCAACATTTTCAGTGGCACTGTACTAGGGGTCTAAAGATAACTAGTTAAGACTGGCTTTCTATTATGATGTAAGTCGAGCTCAATGTGAGGGACACGTTGAAAACAAACAATCAAAAAGAACAGCTGTGATATATTCTGTATTTATTTTTGGTCAGTCCTGGGGCTAGAACTTGGGGCCCGGGCATTGTCCCTGAGCTCTTTTGCTCAAGGTTGAGCCACAACACCACTTCTGGTTTTATGGAGGTTAACTGGAGATTAGTCTCATGGACTTTCCTTCCCAGGCTGGCTTCAAACTGTGATCCTCAGATCTCAGCTTCCTGAGTAGCTAGGATTACAGGTGTGAGCCACCAGAGCCTTTTGTATATTATTTTTCATCTTAAGTCTGCAGAGAAGGGGTCTCCACAGAAGGAAGCACTCTCAACCTACCAAACCTTCATTACTTCACCTCCACTAGGACACACTCCTAAGCTACCTGATGTTACGAAGTGTTTTTTGTAACTGACTTAAAAAAAAGTGTACGTTCCCCTTCCGTTCCTTCCATCGCGTGGCTGTCTGTGCCAGGATGTGGCCCTGACACTACAGACAGGAGGTGAACACAAGTGCCAACTCCCACCTGCAGGCCCCAGGCCCGTGTGACTCGGGCAGTCCACTGTCACTAGACCAAGCCTCTCATAAATATGTATGTGGCTTGAGTTTACAAAGCTCCCAGGCCACACGCCCACTGGCATGGGCAGCCGCACTCAGCCTGGCCTCCTGCAGCGGCACTGCCCACTGTCAGGGGCTCACACCCTAGCCAACCTCACAGAGGCAATCCAAGGGGCTGAGCTGGCAAGGCCAAAACAAGGCCAAAGGATGCTCACAGAACGGAACCCCAGGGGGGAAATGGGAAGAGCGGGCTGGCCTTGGGTCTGGAGCACCCTCCACCAGGCACCAGTCTTGGAAGTTTGAAAACCAGAAATGACACCTTTAGCAATAGCAAAGCAAATACCTGCTGGCTTTCAAGAGCATAACTGGAGCCTAGCACAAAAAATAGCTCTAGACTTCGGAACACCTAAAGCCAGTGTTGCTGCGGCTTTAAGTAGACGTCAGTGTGGTTACATGCAAAAGAAATGAAGAAACTCGATGGATCTGGGAAGGTGGCTCAGTGGTAGAGCACTTGCCTTGCATGCACAAGGCCCTGGGTTCGATTCCTCAGCACCACATAAGCAGAAAAAAAACAGAAGTAGTGCTGCGGCTCAAGTGGTAGAGTGCTAGTCTTGAGCTGAAGAGCTGAGGGACAGCGCCCAGGCCCAGAGTTCAGGCCCCACGACACACAAAAAAAGAAAAGAAAAAGAGAGAAAGAGACCTCACACAGCCACCCGTCGGGCCACAGATGCCAGGTCCTTTCGCTGAGACCTGCTCGGGGGCTCGGGGATGCTGCCTGGCCCGAGGCAGCCAGGCTCCGGGAGAAGCTGTGCCTCAGAGCAGAGGCCTTCCCCGCGCCAGGCAGGGCCGGGCAGGGTCGGGCGGGGTCAGCGGGCCGGGCAGGGTCGGACCCCGGAGGCCCGGTAGGGCCAAGCGAGGCAGGGTCAGGTCTGGCAGGGTCG